TCCCATTGTATTTTGACATCATACTAGAGGAAGAGTGTCGTGGAGTTTCACATAATTATCACAGGGATAAAAATACATTTCTCATGAAATAATTATAATAATTGATGATAGCTAGACGATCGTATACGATTGATGCAAAGTCCTTGCAGTCCTTGAGGACTATTACGAAGAGGTTGATTACTTTTAGGGCATTCATTCAAGCAACATCAAACAAACGCGATACGCTCCTTGAAAATGGAAAAAAATTCAAGCATAACGACAGAACAGCAGACCAATCGAAACGAGTAAAAGCATCCTTACCTCAGTCATCGTCCTGCCATGTAGTTGGACAGCCTTTTGACACGGTGGGACAGGCAGCTCTTGTCCAGTCAAACAGGGGTATCCTTGTGGCGTCGAACGAAAGAGAGTGTCAGTGTACTATCTGACTCGTCAGATTGGAACTGTGCTGAACTTTTCTCTTTCTCCGGTTTCTGCTTTCATCCCTCGCTCTGATGAAACCGTTCAAACGTCTTACTGGCAGCAATGGCCAGCCAAACAGGGGATCCTTGTGGCGTCGAACGAAAGAGAGTGTCAGTGTACCTGACTCGTCAGATTTGAACTGTGCTGAACTTTTCTCGTTCTGCAATTTCTGCTTTCACCCCGCACACTGATGAGACGTCTTCAGAGAACCACAAGACGCTTTCCAGATTTGATTTTGAACGTCTCCTTATCCTCCTTGGTTACCTCGTGACAGATTACTGTCAGCAACTTCACAGCAGAACCGGCAGCCATGGCTGAAGCGAAGAAAGGAATGCGCTGCCACGAGGCAAGCAAAACTGAAAAGGTGTTTGTTCTTTTTCGGGCACAACACACAGGACGGCGTGACTGGATAAACTGGACTCCTGGACTGTGAATAGGGGACTGGTAGAAAAAGTGTACTCCTTATAGGGGATTGCGCGGCAGGTTGAAGCTGATCAAAACTGAGTGGACTCCTGGACTCTGTATAGTGGATTTTGGACCAATGGACTCTATATAGGGTGCTGGACATCATATAGTGCATGGACTCTATACTGAGTCCTACATACATATCTGTAAAGTGTTAACCATGGACTACTTTTGGCTAGATTAACTCTTGTGTAATCAATGGTGCTAGTGAAGCTTGAATCAGATCCACTCTGATTTAGCCACCCACACTAGTAGCAAGTATTACCTTCACTGGGGGCAGGGGTAACTGCAGTTGGATCCCGGGACGGATACCCTGATGCCGTCAATCCTTTTTCTGCACCTTGTCCTCACCCACTTACTGAGGTGTGGTGAGCCCATAAGTGGGATCATTTTCAAGTCCACCCAGAGTTTTGGAGATTTCAGGGGGTGTCGGCCGCTGGGCGGTTCAATAGCCAATTGAGTCATCTTTCCAAGATTCCTTTTGAGTCTCTCTCCCCTCTCCGGGGAGACTCACATGACCAGTTTTGGCAGTGAGCAACAAGTACAAGTGTGTGTGTGTGTGTGTGTGTGTGTGTGTGTGTGTGTGTGTGTGTGTGTGTGTGTATGTGTGTATTATACGCATTCCCGCGGCAGCGCCAACCAAGCAGTTATGCTTGATCCACACGTTCGCTTATGCTGGACATTGAAACAAAGCAGATGTAGACAGCTCCTAGAGAATGGGGCTCTACAAAACCAATGATCGAAGTTAGTCCTTCAGTAACATGGAGCGTCATATAATTGGTCTCATCGGAAAAATGTCATCACTAGTGTCTCCTCATGTAGCATCATGGTCAATGGGTGGCCAGATAATTATACGTATGAGGTTGAGTTGCCAGATAATTATTAAAAGATTCAAATAGTAATATTATTATAGAATGGTTGTTATGAGTTTATAATGGTGTGTATGTGTGTGTGTGTGTGTGTGCGTAGAAAGAGAAAACTGGTTACCAACAGTCAGTGTATGCCGAAGTATGTGGCGTAGTGTATGTGTGTCGAAAAAGAAAGAAAAGAAAGAATGAAAAATGGAAAAATGAAAAATAGGGATTCACTGGCCGGAAAAAGTCACTTCAATCAGCTGTGTGGTGGGTACCAGGCTAAAATTAATGGCGGTCAATTCATCAGCCTTGCAAGCTGTTGAATGGTGTAATCCCAGGAAATTTGTTGCTATATCTAACTTAGCTGTTCGCTATCATCGCTTCCGTGACGGGCATGTCTGAGTCTGAGTCTGAGTAAGTGTATGTGTGTGTGTGTGTGTATGTGTGTGTGTGTGTGTATGTGTGTATGTGTGTGTGTGTGTGTGTGTGTGTGTGTGGGTGTGTGTGTGTTTGTCTGTGTGTATGTGTGTATGTGTGTGTGTGTGTGTGTGTGTGTGTGTGTGTGTGTGTGTGTGTGTGTGTGTGTGTGTGTGTGTGTGTGTGTGTGTGTGTGTGTGTGAGCGTGTGTGTGTGTGTGTGTGTGTGTGTGTGTGTGTGTGTGTGTGTGTGTGTGTGTGTGTGTGTGTGTGTGTGTGTGTGTGTGTGTGTGTGTGTGTGTGTGTGTGTGTGTGTGTGAGTGTGTGTGTGTGAGAGAGAGAGAGAGAGTGCGTGTGTGAATCCCTACTTTTTGGTCTTTTCATTACATCATAGCTGTGTGATGTAGGCCAGGCAGAATAGTGGCGGTCAGTTCTTCAGCCTTGCAAGCTGTTGAATGGTGCAATCCCAGCACGAGTTGTTATGGTTTCTGCTGTAGCATCGCAATCATCGCCTCTGGTGATGAGCGTCCAAAGGTCAGAAAGGTGTGCGACTGTGCGTGTGTGTTTGTGTGCGGGTGTGTGTGTGTGTGTAAAAAAAAGAAAAAAAAAGGATTCACTGGCCAGAAAAAGCCACTTCAATCAGGTGTGTGGTGGATACCAGGCTAGAAAATAGTGGCGGTCAATTCATCAGCCTCTCAAGCTTTTTGAATGGTGTAATCCCAGCACAAGTTGCTATGTCTAACATAGCTGTTCGCTATCATCGCTCGTGCGATGGGCATGTCTGAGGTGTGTGTGTCTATGTGTTTGTGTCTGTGTGTGTCTGTGTGTGTCTGTGTGTGTGTGTATGTGTGTGTGTGCGTGCGTGCGTGAGTGTTTATATATGTGTGGGTTTGAAAGCGGTGGCAGGACAACGTTGTGTCCGATATGAATGACGGCCATATAATGGACTGGTACAACCTCGCCCAAAAGCACAGAGAGTGGAGAACAGCATTCGGCAACGTTCCTCCTGCCAAGCCACCTTAGAGGCCATCCGTAAACAGTAAATACAGATATTTAGTCAGAAACCCAAACTAGTCATTTCTCTTGTCTTTGCTGATGTATTGCAGAAGCTTGGTGTAAACAACCCACACTTCTAAATGGGCAGGCAACAGTCACTTCTCGGATAGCACAATTCAAGTGCAACACTGGGTTTAGATTGGTTGGCTTGCCATTTTCGGTGTGTGCCAATCAGACATGGATGTTCAAGAGAGCATGTATCCGTGAGTAGAAAAATATTATATATTTTTTACTCAAATTAGCTATGGATGAACATTGGCAGACTTTGTGGGGTGGGGGGGGGGGAGTACAACCACCAGGCCTCGAACCCAGGCACTCTATTGACGCTTATGGCCAGTGTTGCTCTAGCATGAAGCCATCCTGTAGTCACTATCCCACCAGCAACCATTCACCATTTCCTTCAGACTGATCATAACAATGTTTTTAATATAAATAGTAAGGGCCAGGTTCCACTGCGGCTCCGCTGCTCCGCTGCTCGTCTTTCGCGGCTTGAAACGTCATCATTACCACAGTGACCGCAGCTCGAGGGAGAGCAGCTAGGCCGCGGCTCACCGCGAGCTTTTGCTACGATTCTTGACCAAAAACTGGGAGCCGCGGTCGCGGCTCGACCTGTTTCCCGTACTTTGCATTGTTTCGTACGCCAGAATTTTAAAATTCAAAATTTAATTCGTTGCGCAGGCCAGAACACGACGAGTTTTTGGATTTCGCGCGTGCTCGCGCGCGCAGGCAGGTTAAATGTCATCAAAAAGTGTGGACCACGACCGCGGTAACGCGAATGGCGAGTGCCAGTGGAACCGCATTGCTCCGCTGCTTGCAGCCAAGTGCCGCGGAGCAGCGGAGCCGCAGTGGAACCCGGCCGTAAGCATGGTGATGCAATGGCCCACATTCACACCGCGGCAAGGCAGGAATCCTAGCATCTAGGGAGATGGCATGACACTGCATCAGCACTTGGCATGATGTGTGTTTCGACCCCGGGTTTAGAAGTTCCACATGATCCGTGCTCTATGCAGCTTGAAAACGCCGTGTCACGCCTATGTGCCTCTAATCTCTATAGCGGCCCAGTCTAGCTACACCATGTGCCAGCATGCAAACAATGTTAATCAGGGCTGTCCCGAGAGAGACTTGAACGGACAGTCCTGGAGCGAAACCTTCATTTTTAGGCTTTAAAGTTGCCAGTGTGGCAGTCGTCCCTTGTGCTAGGACTCCCTGCTGTAAGTCAAACACAATGCACTGCAGAATCTATGCCCAATCAAGTCATGTCCACTATAGAACAAAAATTTCCCTTCAACAAGTTTACGAACGGCCATAGCGATAACTGTTTCATTGAACTGATTCTAAGCGCATGTTTGATTGTGCGAATGCGTGGGCCCCGGACCCGGATTCACCAAATTCGTACATGTTCAATTGTACGAATCCGGATTCCGGTCCCACGGAATCGGATCCAGTCAACCCACCTCACAGAGCCGGATTCGGCGGATTCGATGGATTCATTTGCATTGTATCTACTCAAAAATCGAAATATGCGTACAGTAGGTCAAGAGTTCACCGCAATTGCATACAGATAGAATGAAATGGTACGGGATGAGCTGTAGTAACTCTGTTGCTAAGGTCTTGAAACGGATTATCAGGTGTGCCAAGAGTACATGAAAACGGTGTTTTTTGTTTTGTTTTTGTTTTTGTAACTCGGGCATTGAGCCAATAATAACAACTAGGCACAAAACTTTTCTACATTTAATGTAGAAAAGTTTTGTGCCTAGTTGTTGCACTTTCTGACTGTATATAGTATATATTTCCGCGTCATTAAAATTGTCGCTTCGCACATCGCAATATTTGTGGCTTGGCTCGTCTTAGTCAGACTGTCGGAATCGCTGTTTTGTGTGTTCGAACACTGGTGTGACCCTTGCTGCGCAATGTCTACTTGTCACTGAAGCCATGGTAGTCTCAAACTTTGTCGGAGCTCTCTTCCGCACCAAGCAAATTCATTGCGCTCCGCACTATTCCGCCCCAGAGCGCATTTCGTTTTCTGGAGTTCGTGCCGTCCCACATCATTCTCGTGGGCATTTGTCAAGACTGCAAGCTCGGGTATAAGATTCCTGGTATCTCTCCTGAATTCGAACTGCTGACATTGACGATGGCAAGAACAAAGTGGTCTCAAATTCCTAAAATGCGCTACTTGTGGCGCATGTTGCTGCGAAGGTAGCAGGTCTGAAAACACCAACAAAATCAGCGAAGCGCTTGCCAAGGAAAGAAGGTGCGGAACTGCTTACCCTATCCCGCTGGAAAGTCGTTACAATGTACTTGAAAAATGCTAGCTTGCCTTCATCGCCTGCCACCTGGAGGCATGGATTGCCTGAAAATGAAGTTTCTTGACCTGAATTTGAAAACGCGTCTTGTTCAGCGTATTGTTGAGTGCTGAAGGGTCTGCCTCAAACTCTGATGAAGGCGTCGACCTTAGCTGCAAGTGCAGCGAAGCGGGGGGCCACAAACTAAAGCTTGGTCCGTCGACATGTCGACAATGCTCTGCCTCAATTTCTAGCTGATTTCTTTGCCCTTCGAGTGGACAAAATAATTTTCGAAAAATCGCTCTGCAAAGCGATAATTTTAATGACGCGGAGGAAGTAGTTACAGTGGTGGAGAGTGACTCTTAACTCGTTTCCATATGTCCTTTTTCTTTTCTACATTTTTTTCTTTTATTTATTTATTTTCCTACAAAGTGTTCATGTACTGTTGGTTGTGAGCATCCGTTTGTATCCGTCTGATCGAATTGATCTGGTCGGCGGGGATCGCGATCCAGTTGCCACAATCGAATGCAGCCGAAGTCATGCAAAGTCAGGATTTCTGTTTACTTGCAGTCAGGATAGTACGCATCTGCTTACAAACGAAAATCCAGTGGAACAAAAAGAGATGAAGGGGTCGTGCACAAATATCGAAAAAAAATTCGCAAAACAAAATAATTTCGTTATGGGCCATGGGGCAGGAGGGGGTTGAACAATTTTATTTCAGAAAACATTGGTATACATGCACACGGCCATAGGAACAGTGACACACTTACTGGTATGACTTTGGCATGGATGATGTCAACATTTTTTTCCGTTCTGAGGGGAGGGAGGTGGGGTTTTTGGCTAAACGAAAATAATGCGCTTGCTGAAATTTTTTCGATATTCACGGGTGGCCCCTAAAAGTCTCTACTTACGAGTTTGAACTCGGATGGTGAGCCAATATTGTTATGATGAAGAAAGGAAAAGGACAAAATATTACGAGTTATGACAAACTGTCCACCAATGTAACCAGATCGTATACAGCCAGCAAGTGCGACAAAATGGCACAAAACTGACAAGGAGTACTGAGACATTCGGCGGCCTGACACCTAGCCCCAACACTTCTCCTAGGCGCAAACCAACAACCTTCCAACTTAGAAGGCTCAGGTTCGGAAAGGTCCAAGGTCTTCTTCGTTGCGCTTTCCTTCCCCTCTTGGACCTTTCCGAGCCTGAGCCTTCCAAGTTGAAAGGTTGTTGGTTTGCGCCTTGGAGAAGTGTCGGAGCTAGGTGTCAGGTCACCGAATGTCTCAGTACTCTTTGTCAGTTTTGTGCCATTTTGTCGCACTTGCTGGCTGTATAAGATCTGGTTACGTTGGTGGACAGTTTTTCATAACTCGTAACATTTTGTCCTTTTCCTTTCTTCATCATAACTTACGAGTTTCATGCTGGAAATCAATCATCAGAATACGGGGGCTATACTCGGGGTTATTTCCAATGGTGAACGGCACTATTCGGCCAATAAAATGTAAAGAACTCTTCCTCTCCTCTCAGTGAGTCGGCTGTGAGAGCGCATGGAGGAGAAGAGAGGAAAAGTTCTTTCTACTCGGGGTTGTGAGGTCTTATTCACTATACAGTCCATTTCAACACTATAGACGCGTACCTAGGCAAAAACCGTTATGCCAGCATCTATACCACATAAAATCTGTGATCGCTTTGTGCATAAAATTTTCCAAATTGGGCGTCTGTTATCCAATCGTTTAGAATCTATAATGAGAGTAATTGTGGAGCGGTCCTGAGCAATATTCCGAAAACTATTCTCAAAAAGTACCAGCCAAATTTGAAATATTTCAAAACCCCTACGCGTCTATAGTTTTGAAATGGACTGTAGGTGTTATCCCATGGCAGGTATGGCAGGCACTTATCTGCTTATGTATTCTCTTGCGTCTAGCTCTAAAACAAGGCGAACTGCCAGGTCCCAAGATTTCCCGTGAGTTCAAATTTCCCTGTGCTCCCTTCTAATTACCGTATGTCTTCACCTTTAAAGCCATGGTGGTACAGTCGTCCCTCTCTAATCCGGCACTTTATAATCCAGCACCCTCGATAAACCAGCACAATTTTCAGTAGCCAAAATGTCCTCTTCATGCACATTGCAGCAGTTAATCAGATTTGTTAATCCAGCACCCTCCCTAATCCAGCAGATTTTCGTGGCACAAATGGTGCCGGATTATAGAGGGACCACTGTATATTCGATTATAAAGCCAGTCTCAGTTATATAGCCATGAGCTTCATAAATGTAATGAAATTTGAAGTATGTTTTGCAAAAATGAAGGAATACGTACTATGCTAACACACTTACAGCCCAGCAGGAAGGGTTAACAAGTAGATTTAGATTTCTGGTTGGACTTTGACTTTTTATGGCATGGCGTAGTGGGTGAGTCATTTTGCATCTAAAACATCTCGGAAAGCAACGGTGTTTTGAATATAAGACCATGGCTTTAAAGGCGCTGATATACGGTATGTGATACGTAATGCGCTCTAAGACTTTTTCTTGAAGTTGTTCTAGAATATCATTATCACTGCCAGCAAGAGTACATGAAAACCAGAGTGTGCAGCTTGGGGTCTTCTCTGCAATGGGTGTCTGTCATGGCGGAATTCCGTGATTACATCATATTTGGTGCAGATCTGAGGCGGGAAATGGCGTAGTGCGTACAACTGAGCTGCATTTGTGCAGAAAGAGACCTGCTTGAATCCTGCTTGTACTCACTACATCACTAAAATGATGTAATCACGGAATTTCGCCGTGACAGCAACCCATCCGAGCTGCACACTCTGGTTTTCATGTACTCTTGTTGCCAGCCACATCATGAACGGTCAGCCCTGTGTGTATGTGATTAATATGGTGGTAAAGACACAACTGGCAATATGGCGATAAATACACGCCTGCGCACACACGCTCTCTAGGCTTCAAAGTTCTGGCACAGAGCTCTCCTTCTGCGTGTATTTACCGCCATATTACCAGGTGTGTGTTTACCACCATATTTTAAGATCAGTTTCAGTCGTGTCTTCAGCTTCATTCTACATGTATGTGGATGGTTTAATGATGTGCTGCAAACAACCTAAGAGAGCTGGGTAGAGGAAGCCATAATTGGTCCAGCAAGTCCTTAAATTTTCTCTGTAACTCTTACCGTATCAGCAAGTTAGGGGGTGTGGTGGGGTGGGGTGGGGGTAGTTGTGCACCTTTTCCTTGTGTTTAGAAATTTCATTGTTTCGCCGCTTCCCTGATCACAAATCCTGGAAAGCAAACTCCAGTTGGAACTAAATTTCAGCTGGCACTCTGTAATGTGTAGTGTAGTGCAGGGCAGCGCAGTGTAGTGCAGTGCAGTGTAGTGTAGTGTAGTGTAGTGTAGTGTGGTGCAGTGCAGTGCAGTGCAGTGCAGTGCAGTGCAGTGCAGTGCAGTGCAGTGCAGTGCAGTGTAGTGTAGTGTAGCGCAGCGCAGTGCAGTGTAGTGCAGTATAGTGCAGTGTAGCGCAGCGCAGTGTAGTGTAGTGTAGTGTAGCGTAGTACAGTTTAGTGCAGTTTAGTGCAGTTTAGTGCACTAAACTGTATTGTGTTAAGATAGTCCCTTTTAGCTAGGCGCAGCTCAATGTTCCAGGACCATGTACTTCCCGTAATGTAGAGTTGTAGATGAGAAGATAGTGGTAAGGAGTAAAATGGTCCTAGTTCCTATGGGACTATCAAGGGTTCAGCATTCAGATACAGGGGCGATGTGTGCCTGTATGTAGTGAAGAGAGACTTAAACAACGATTCGCTTATGACAGACTACTGTTGGGTATTGACCAATGCAACTGCGGGGAATAGTGGGACGCAGCCTCCTGGAGATGACATTGTCCTGCTAGGTTGGAGCGCAGGCAGTTTTAGAGTTGATGCTTTCACTGGATTCGGGTGTGTACGTGTGTAGGGGGAGGGTGTGTGTGTGTGGGGGGGGGGGTGTACGTGCATGTGTGGGCACTTGTGTGATTGTGGGGATATTTGCGTGTGTGCGTCTGTGTGAAATAGATGGCACAATTTTGTGCATTGCTTAACTGTGGAAGATAGGTTGTTTCTGAAGGTTTACCTCTATTCAAGATGGGAAACACAACTTTTCACTGTGGTTTCTAATGTTGTTTCATTTCATAACTACGTTTTGGTTTATGTTTTATTTTGTTCACAGTTCATTTATATCCGCAAGCTTCCCGTAAGTACATCATGGTGCTACGTTTTCAATTCTTTCAAACATCCCAGAAGTGCACCAAGACAGGTGTTCACAACTCTGCATCCCTGCAATGTTGCACACCCATGGTTTAGGTCATGGCATTGCCCTGACATCCTCCGGTTGCTTTGCCCGGTCAGCATTTATACATGCAACAATCTCCCCTCCTCTTCATGCACTCTCAGCCGACACGTGTTGCTACCCTCGGTAGCCATTGCTACAGTCAAAAATTCCAAACAACAGAGGGGGTGCGGGCACACATCAATGATATTATTCCTCCTGAAAGCTAATTTTATTGCATTTTCATGTGTACTGTTATATCCTATATATGGACCTATAACCATTTTAAAGGACAATGATATAGGACGCATATTGCTCATCTGGGAAATACAATGAAGGTGGTGTACCTAGCGACAACTTCGAGCCAGTGCTTTCTGTCCGAGGCAATTTGCTTCGCGTCCAAAAGAGACATGTGGAGAAGTAAAAGATTATCTCTAATGTTGTCTGCACATTACTCTAAAAAGTTTCGTTGGTGGAAAAATGGTATTTCGATAGAGTAATCATCTGCCGCAAGTCTTTTTTTCGCTTTCATTCAGATTTCGTCCTCCATTGTTGCTAAAAGAGAATGTCTGCAGTGTCTGCTCCAGAGCCGGGTGAGCCGGGTAATCGACCCGGTTGGGCGGCGCTTGGACCGGGTTGAAAATATAGTACCGGGTCGCCTGTGACCCGGTTGGTACTTTACACGGTCGAACTTTGAAAGGACTGACTACATGGCTGGTATGTGTGATAGATCATGCAGAGGCGCGCGTTGAAGTGAAAGTAGTCAGTAGAGAGGTTTCGCTTCACGTTGTTCTGCACTACACCGTTAAACTCGGGTTCACGTCGAACGTGAGTTGACCTCAGCTCACGTCATGAACGGGAGTTTCGACGCCGAAATTTGCCACACCGACATGAAATTTCACAGTGTCGGGGCAGAACAACGTGAAGCAAAACCTCTCTATTATCCGGTGTGTGTACTTGCTCAATTCGAGCTTGACCGTTGAGGTGTTGTTTTTGGAAATGAAGCCTCCAGCAGGCGAATACACAGGCCCTGCTTCCAGGACTCTAGGAAAACTGGTCGTCGTGGTGAGACAGCGCCAGGTACATGTGTACTCGGCTCCAACCCGGTTGAAAAGGTTGCGCCAGGTACACATGTACCCGGCTGTCCTACAATCCTAGAGCAGACACTGGTCTGTGTGGGTGTATATCCAATAGATTTCCAAATTAGCGGATCTTGAGACGGGCGTACATGGTGTGTGCCCGCGTTGGTCCTGTACCTGGATTCTGCCCATGCCGAGAGGACGTGAGTATGTTCAACTTGTACTGTCTGTGTTCACTGCTGCAGATCAGGATGTATGCAAGGGAACCTCTCACGGCTGTCACGAAGATGCACTGTGCTTGAACACGCACAGCACTTTTACTTGCACTTGTCTTCCAGGATTCACCGGTAATGGAGGGCACTGCCAAGGTACGTTATTTTGTTGGCATGTTCAAATTCTTAGCACTCACAGCAGCATCATATCCAAACACGATCAAGTTGAGAATACAGGCTATCAGCACGCCCAAATCAAGTCGGTTAGAAGGTGGGTGCAACCAAGAAAGATGCAAGTAGGCATGCGTGTGTTTGTATAATATTATGTGTGTGTGTCTGTCTGTATGTGTGTGTGTGTGTGTGTGTGTGTGTGTATGTGTGTGTGTGTGTGTGTGTGTGTGTGTGTGTATGTGTGTGTGTGTGTATGTATATGTCCATATATTATATGTGTCTACCACTAAGAGCGCGGAGGATGTTCGTCCGTTCTGCTTGCATTCTGCCCAAGGCATGCCTAAATAAACCCCACCATGCCAACTTTCCCTCCGCTGAGTAGTGTTCATGTCACCACTAGACAGAATTAATGTCGACATTCTGGAAGATTACGGCCATCATCCCCAGATGCCACCATAGTTATTTGATCATGAAGATGGCCAAGCCAAGTAAAAGAAGTGAGCTATCGTGGCCGTTAGCGTGTGAACTCATGACGGCCGCTAACAATAATGCTGATGGTAGCCAAACCCCTACAACAATGAAGGAAATGGATTATGGTGTCTCTTCTTTTATTCAACTGGAATACTTTATTCATGCCCTGAAAGGCAGCGGGCTATCTCCACTGCTACTCAGGACAGTTTTTGTAAAGTGTTTCCCACGGTTTCTTGACGAGAGAGCTTGGAAGCTCAGGGCCCTACGCTATGCTTTTTTGCCTTGATGACCTAGACAAAAAAAAGCATAGGGATGTTATAAATTCTTTAAAAAAATCCTTTTTTTTTAGACATAACCTGGGATTCGAACCCGCACTATCGCGCGCCCTGCATGCATCCCCCGATACACTTCGCATACATACTAATTCTTCCAAGTTGTTTCACATTGTGATCTTGCATTTGAAAGCCCTATTTGAATATGCATTGTGGCCAGCCGTCTTTGATGGCACGGTACGGTAGGGGATAGGTACGGGACAGGTACGATCGAGGGTAATACGACACCGTCTCCCGTACCGTACCGTACCATCAAACACAGCTGGCCACATACAGCTGCCCGCAATATTCAAATAGGACTTTCAAACGCAAGATAATAACGTGAAGCAACTTGGAAGAATGGGTATGAATGCGAAGTGTATGGGGGAATGCATGTAGGGCGATAGTGCGGGTTCGAATCCCAGGATATGCCTGAAAAATAAATAGGAGAATTGAAAAATTTATAACATCCTATGCTTTTTTGCCGTCAGATACGGATAGCGCCAGGCGTGACACAAACAAACAAACAAACAAACACACAAACACACAAATACACAAATACCAAACGAGAGAGCTTGGAAGCTCAGGGCCCTACGCTATGCTTTGTTACTTAGCTCATCGTGCATGTTGTGGGAACTGATGGAAATGTTTCCTGGAACGGTGCTGACTCTGCCGAGCACGCGCGTTCTGGAGTCGACGGGATCTCTCTGCCGACGTTTCCTGTGACCGGCGCTGACTCGCCCGTTCACGCCTATTTTGGAGACGACGGGATGTCTCTTCCAAAGTATGTTTTTACTGACGCATCCTATCACCTATTCGGCAACTAACATCCATTCTAATTTCATTTCCTCGTCTCCCTATTTCTTTCCAGAAAGTCTCTCTATACATCAGGGAGTCGTACTGTATTGGCAGCTACCCTAACGGGTCACGCCGCCCACCACCCAAGCATGGGTATGATGAGGGACAGTGGCAACAGAAACAAAAAAAACAGCAAGCAGGGAGAGAAAGCAAGAGAAAGACGGCGATAGTAGTACATCTGGTGTGCGACGTATAGAAAAAAGAGATGACAAGAGATGCGCACAAAATAGGAAACAATTATTTTTGCAGTTCCGAAACAATCAACCAGGTGATGGAGTGCACATGTGGGCACCCGAAGTCCCACCTGGACTCCACTGGAAGAACATCCCACGCAGGGATATCAGCGATAGGCCAAGCTTTGAAAAACAGCCATGAGGACACATCGTCTAGAAGTCCACCGCGCTCGAACTGAAATTGCAGGTTCAAACAATTTCCCACGCGGCGTCAGGCAGCGTAACTCTTCTCCCTGCATCACCATCCATCTCCAGCAACCGTCTCCACTCACAGCTCATGCCTCTGCCACCACTGTACTCCTCCGAGCTTCGCAGTTTGAAACCATTCGGGGGTCAGCTACACCACCGCGAATGGAGAGACGAGGACGACAACGGTCGTGACTGAAAAGACACTGCCTTGGCGACCGCGTCGCGGAACCCTCGCCCCAGCAAATTCAGAAATACGCCAGGGGCAACTCTGGTGGACTCAGAGCCACCCCCTTGGCAAGACTAGTAAGAGGAACGACTGAAAACTCAGATTAAACGGAGCTGCGAAAAGTGCAACCGTCCCCTTCAAGCACAGTGGCAACACACAGGGAGTCGTATACATGTACTTGTACATAATATTGTGGCCAGCTGTTTGTAGCCAGCTGTGTTTGATGGTACGGTACGGTACGGGACAGATACGGGAGCCAGCAAATGGCCAGCTGTGCGATACGGTACGGGACAGATACGGGATAGCGCCAGGCGTGACACAAACAAACAAACAAACAAACAAACAAACAAACAAACAAACACCAAACGAGAGAGCTTGGAAGCTCAGGGCCCTGCGCTATGCTTTTATGCTTTTTTTGCCTAGCTCATCGTACATGTTATAAGAACTGATGGGAATGTCTTTTTCGTTGATTGGCCACATCACTGTATTGCAAAAACGTTTCAATCGGTTTGCTTATGAGTTAGGCAAAAGTATTTGCAGAATTCATTGCGGATTGTTATTTCTCTAATAATCATCTACTTTTGTTTTGCTCCTTCTTTTCTTTTTATCTCCTTATATTGTAAATCAACAAATTTTGGCCGATGAGAAATAGAAACCTCTCTATTAGAGAGGTTAAGATGCACGTTATTTCCGACGTGACGCGCAGTTTCACGTCAAATTTGAAATCGATCGGTATTTTTGCTCTCACATGCATCCATTGCTCAATCATGCATCATTTGCCTATATGACAAACGTTGGCCTGCGATTTACTTTGGCCGGTTGGTACCAAGCGGCGAAATCAGCGAAATTAAATCGCCAGCGAACATTAGTTGATTTTAATACAGTGATCGGATTTTCTGGCCTTTTTGTAGTAATACATGTGCATTGACCTGTTGAGCCAATGACGACGCCGAATGCATGGTTGCCTGTGGAGCACATCACATAACTTTACAGTCTCCTAAAATACGTATCCCGTCCGACGGCAAAAGAGGCTGCAGATTTAGTTTTTCTGCGCGTCCACGGGATGTCTGCGACGCGAAAGTTCAGCTCGCGTTATTTGGCTCGCACGTCGAAAAATCAACGCGAGTGACCTGCTGCTCACGTCGAAATTTGGACATTACATAACTTTACAGTCTCCTAAAATACGTATCCTGTCCGACGGCAAAAGAGGCTGCAGATTTAGTTTTTCTGCGCGTCGACGGGATGTCTCTCCTGACGTTTACTGGGACCGGCGATGACTCTGCCGATCACGGGCGTTCTGGACTCGACGGGATGTCTGTCCTGACGTTTCCTGGGACCGGCTTAGACTCTGCCGATCACGGGCGTTCTGGACTCAACGGGATGTCTGTCCTGACGTTGCCTGGGACCGGCGGACTCTGCCGATCACGGGCGT